CACCATAAGGAATTAGAGTATACTAAACTTTACACATTATATAGACTACACTACCGTGACATTTTTTTTTGGGGGGGGGGGGTAATGAAAGTGTTCCGAAACGCGATATTAATTTCTTGACGACCTAACATTTTTTTCTTATCTCATACGATTATTTTGAGTTTTAAAAAAAACGTGCAGATTCTAAGATGCATTTTGACTTTTGAAATGAAAACAGTTATTCAGTTGTAAAAAATCTGATGGATTATTAGAACGGCGATTTACTTACCTTAAAGAACCATTCTCTCTTCTTTTTTCCCACTGTTTTTGTAAAAGTAAAATATAATATAACAGTAAAATGATATCATTTTAAAATACAATTATAACACACTGTGGTTTATTCTTCAAATAGTGTGTTTCAACGTGGAAAAAGTTGGAAAACTCTCCTGTGTGTAGTGATTCTTTGAGCTCCGTGTGTTCATCCACTTCGGACGTCACAAACAGTGAAGAATCCGAGGATCTTAAGCCAACCAGCTTAAAATGTTCAAGGGTTAGTCCGATCTCTGTCTATATGTCATACAAACAGTTTATAATAATGTTTTCTTTGGTGTAGATCGTGTGGTGTTTGTACAAATCTTGGCTTTTGTTAATATCAAATATTGCATTTTAATAAAAGAGCTGGGTGTGGCCAAAATGGCTAGCGTACACAGACTGTGAATCTGATGGTTCATGGTTCTCGTTACGTTGCCGCAAAAAACTTGTGCTTAGTACTTTGAGCTATCGGTACTTATAAGAGTGACTGTCACATCCCACTACTCAGTCAGCTAAGAGTAACTCAAGAGTTGGCAAGGGTTCTGTTGTCTAGCTACCTTCCTTCTGGATTATCTGTTAAAAGTTGTTAACGCTAAAATCCGATGTCCAATCTCCGTAGTGGACATAATGTAGATAGCCCCTCGTGTAACTTAGCGCTAAAAATACACGCAAACAAAGAAACGATCAAAATTAGTGACAACTTATGCGCAGTTAACCCTTATGTAGTTTTATGCGATTTTTTGAAATAAACAAATCATGATGCAAATATTTCTTTCCGATTAAAGTTTATAAACAAACACAAAGAAAACACTGAAATATTAACAAATCATAGAAATTTTCTTAGGCTAAAACTATTTTAATAAATAGTATTCTGCCAACGCTGTATAGTTTAAAACTGTTTTATAAGACTGTTTTATAAAATTTGAATCTTTATTTCTACTCGCACTAACGGCCCGGCATGGCCAGGTGG